AGCAGGAAAACGCAACGGTTCAAGAAAATGAAGGAGGCTAAACAATTCCTCTACTGTGTTCTGCAGTGGTGTACCTGTTAGCAGCACTTTATGCTCCTATAAAAAGAGGGGAAAAAGAAGTCTTGCATGAGCTTATATGCAAACATTTAGTAAAACATTTTTGTTAAACCTGAGTGTCATAACCTGAAAGTACCAATTCTCAGTGTCAGTAGGTACATATGCAATACACACAAACTGATTTACAAAAGACCACTTTCTCTTCTGGCATCTGTGAGCCAGTTCACCTAGTTATAGCCAAGTAATAAAGAAATGACTGAACAACTGTTACCAGTTATATTTACACATATACAATCCCCTCTCCCAACAGTGTGGAAAAAATACACTGAGTATATAACAGAAATCAAATCAAACAACTTACATATCCTCTTCGGAGGATTTGCACCACCTAACAAACTAAAGTAAAAGTCAGGTGGGAGAAGAAAACCCGAAAGTAGCCATGGCACACCTTGCAGTAGATGCACCAAAAACTCAAGACGCATTTTAGTATTATCTTTCAAAATCTTGCCACTATATCACATAATACCTAAAGTATAAGATCAAATAATCATCCTATCTTAACAAATTCCACTACTTGTTTAGCAGTATTATGATAACTGGCTTTTAACAAATAACTTGTTTAACATATTTTCTAGCTTCTTTTAAATGTACTGATCATTGCACAAATACTCACGCAGAAACAAATTTATTACTCAAAACTCTCTTTAATCAAAATCATAATCAAAACAGACTATAAAAGAGCATTAGCAGAAACAGATTCTGCTCGCATTTAGTGGGTACCCCAGTTTAGTCCCTCAAAAAACACACCAGGACCAGGTCTCAAAATAAGAATATATTTCAGGAGAGTATCAAGAATGGGTATCTCCACAGTCAGTCTTTTTTGACAGGTAAACAAGCTGGCGATTTATTATACTACTGTACTTAAGTGCTTTTACAGAAAAAAAACACAGTAAAACCACATAAGTGAAATACAGCCACTCACAAGGTTCATTAGCTTTAGTCCTTCCAAGAGTTTGCAATTTTTGTTCTTTAGTCTGTGCGCTTCATCAATAATAACACACCGCCACTCAATTGCATTGAGTTCTGGACAGCCACCAAGAATCATTTCAAAAGTAGTGATAATGGCTTGGAATCTGTATGTACCTCGAACGATGCGTCCCTAGAGATTTACAAACACACCTTGTCATATTACACCTCAAACCTACTCAATTTAAAGATTTCATTGCTGAAGTTTTATCCAAAATCAGACATGAGATTTTACGTTACAAATTGTTTTATCTTCCCATACACATTTAGTAGGTCTATATAATTCTGTAATTAATACTAATGAATAATTGTCCATCATCAAAAATCCAATATTGTCTAACCAACAGTAACATTCTAACTACTTCTTAATTACAGATATCGTCATCTAATAAAACTGCTGCAACAGGAGTTTGTAGGCAATACTACATTTCTAATCCCATGAAAGTCTGAAAGAATGATTGACAGAAGAAACGTACAGTCAATCAATCAAAATATACAACAGTAACACTTTTAGCATTCATACAGCAAGTAAAAAACAGCACTTGAGCCAGTAACAATCAAGTGAACACCTTTTATCTTATCTAACTTACTTTACTTGATTGGTCTGACAAAGAGACTATGTCACGTCTTCAATAAGACAGTTAGCATGTAATAAATCACTAGAGAAATAAGACATCATTTTAATATTTAAGACATGGTTCAAAAGAGAAAGCTGTTTCGTTTTTAAAGAAAAATAGCCTTATCAATTTTGTAAAACAGCATGACGGTTTAATACTTGCTTATCCAGAAAACACAGAAAAACGAAAAAAAAAACCCAACTGTTAAAAAGATGGTCAGATTTCAAGTTTTTTACATTTCAATCAACGTAAAGTAATTAAGATAGAAAAGCAAATTGTACGCTAGCAAGGTTAGTTTACTCCAGGGAAAGGAAGTTAATAGCTACCTGAAGGCAATATTAAGCTTAATGAGCTACACTTTCTTTCTTACTGTTCTCCACATTCAGGGCCCAAATGCAACTATCTGCATACACTAATCTCCACACAAATGTTGGCATCGATGCTATTACATTGCAAAATTGCTCAGCACACTGTAACAACATGTATCTTGCTGCAACCAATTTCACAAAACTCACTTAGTAAACATATGTTAAAGATTGACATGTAAAAACCCTAAAAAAAAATACATGACGGTATGGAAAATGACTTTCACTAAGATGTGTATGCAGATAACATAAAGTGTACTTTTAATTACTACTACCTGAGACAGGTATGGGGTAAATTAGCGGATGCAAGTGACATTGTAATACCTGGGAGTCCCTGAAGTACATTTCATACTGCTGAATCATCTGTCTGCTGATCATACTTCCATGATACACTACAACATTAAGGTCAGTCCACGTACGAAATTCTCTTTCCCAGTTTGTTATAGTGGAAAGCGGAGCTATGATCAGAAAAGGCCCTCTTATACCAGACAGGAGGATTTCATAGAGGAATGTAATCGACTGAATGGTTTTGCCAAGACCCATTTCGTCCGCTAAAATGCAATTCCGTCTGAAAGAAAGACATATTTATTTGTTATTAGGGTCAAAGAACGTACAGTCATTAGAGCTGTGACTCAAATGGAGTACTTAGAAAAACAGAGCTCAAAGACGCCAGTTTAAAACAATAGTCAAAATCGTGGAACTGGAGAAGATGCTCCTAAGTGTTGCCCGTTTATGGGATAAATGTATTTGGTACATAAAAACATTGGTTTCTCAATCATATTCAGCACTTGCAAAATCTGAGAAAGGACAGTTCCACAGATTTCTCCTAAAAAAAAAAAAACACCTCACAAACCACTAAGGCTATTCTTTTGGGATTACGTCTGCCCTAATTAAAGGAAATTAAATTAATCAAACAGATTTCCTATATGTACATTCACCTTGACAAACCTGCTAGAAACTAAAGATGATTCCATAAAAGTCACAGTATAAGAAATGCAAAAAGTGTCCCACCTACGCTCATACAAACAAAGTATACCGTAGCACCGCTGCCAAATTTCACCCACTCTATTTCCAAACGGAGACAGAGATATATAACTGAATTATTACACAAAGTATCACTAGGTGCTCACCCTCAACCACATATGTTCACCTAGGTGCTCTAACAGCTATGCAGCGAGGTGAATGACAGAATAGTTGGGGTTGGAAGGGGCCTCTGGCAATCATCTGGAGCAGGTTGCTCAGGACCACGTCCAGTCGGCTTTTGAATATCTCCAAGAATGGAGGCTCCACAGTCTCTTTGGGCAACCCATGCTAGTGTTTGACCGTCACCAGAGTGAAGAAGTATTTTCTTATTTTCAGATGGAATTTCCTGTGCTTCCACTTGCGCCCATTGCGTCTCATCCTGTCACTGGGTCCCGCTGGGAAGAGCCTGCCTCCATTGTTGTCACCCTCCCATCAGCTATTTATATGCATTGGTAAGGTCCCCCGAGAGCCTTCTCTTCTCCAGACTGAACAGTCCCAGCTCCCTCAGCCTCTCCTTCTATGAGATGCTGCAGTCCCCGAGTCATCTTTGCGGCCCTGACTCAAACTGAGATCTTTTTCTTCCTCCAGATCGTGAAATTATACACCTAAACAGGATGCTTGCTGACATAAACTCTCAAGTGGAGGTAACTGATACTTTGGAAATAAAACAAGCAGGAAGATTAACGGATAGATACCTAAACTAGATACAGAGAAAATTCATACTTCCGGAGAGAAAAAACAAACAAACAAAATCTTGAAAAATGGACATGATACCCTTCAAACAATGATTACATTCTAGTTAATATATCATAGCATGAATGACCAAAAGTTTAATTAGATTACAATATAGGAAATATAAGTAACCAGTAATTTTATTTGAAATATATATTAATTCTATAAATCATTTTGAAAGATACAAGTGCAGCAGTGAAAGTATCATTTTAAACACGTTTAAAACATTATTTTCATGGACTATTCTGATAACAAACAACACAAACAACAATTATTTCTTAGCTGTTTGAAGAATTCCTGCATTTTCTTAAGGGGAAGAAAAAAACCCATTGCTTCCTAAAAGCTTGCATTTTTTGTGCAAATTGTTTCTTGGCTTAATTTCCTCTCAGCCATTAAATTGTTTTCAGTTAGGTCAGATTTATTCTTCATCAGCTTAATTTTTCGTTAGTCTTGTTGGTAAGATACAGCTGTACACCCAAATGAAGAGAAACTTCAAATTTTTTTCAATTATAACTTTTTGGCTAAGTGCAGAGAAGGTAGGAAAAGTTCATTTAAAACAGTATTCATCTACTGTGACACATTTATTCATTTCATATTTTCAAAGTTTATATTAAAAATATTCCATGCATATACCTATTGTACCAGTTGAATAGGAGCCAGTTCAGTCCTTCCAGTTGATACTCCCTGAGCTGATTGCCATTTTTATATTCTCTGGACTGCTCTATCTTCTTCCAGGAGTTTGGAGGTGGTCGGTCCTTTAAGAGAAAAGTGAATGGATATGCAAGTTGGCACACATCTCCTTTTTTCAGAACATTTTTACCTACTAGTTCCTGAGTGTAACAATTTCGGTTGTAATTATTCAGTCTTAAGGATGGAAAGGAGTCCTTGTTATCACTGCTTACTAATGATAATGATTAATAAATCCGGTTTATCGTCTATAGAAATGAATACTTTAAAAATTAATTTAAAGCGATAATATAACTGATTTCTAGAACTAAAAGTGCAAATAGCTTGACACATTAGTGTTTAATTTGAAACACTAACTCATCTATGCAACAAGGAGCCTTCAGAGAACCTGTCGAGAATCCTGAACGTTTCCCTGAGGAAGCTCTGGCAACACCTGCCCTACAGCCACAGCCACCTGAACATTCGCGACTATCGAGATCCCAGAAGTTTAAGCGCCTCTCAAATCTAAGGCTGTCCTTCCGAAACGGTTTAAGCCAATCTGCACTAAGGTACTGCGCTCTGACTCTGTACCTCTTTATTGCCAACGTCAGCATCAGCCGACACGACCCTGCCTGCCGCAGTAACCGGCCTTCCCCAACAGCTGCAGCTCCTCTCCCTCAGCCACGAGCAACCAACCATCTGGCCACTCTCCCACACCACTAACAGCCACCCTCCAGCTCTCAGGGCTGCAGGCAGCGCGCGCACCTTCTTGTGCTTTCTGGAGCTTGGGAACAAACACACACACACACACACACAAACAAACAGACAAACAAGCCTGTTGCTGATGCTGAGATGACCGGCAGTCTTGCAGCTCTACTTTAATCATCTTTTTCTTTCAAAGTCAAATAGCGCAACACAGATGTATAAACCTTTTCTTCCCAAGTGCCAAAATGGCAGCATTTTAAATAAATGCTAGAAAAATTCAGTAGACGTAATCTGAAGAGGCTAATCACGACTTCCGTAATTATCCAGGGATGAGAAAGCATTAAAATAAAATCCAAAGCCTATAAATTAAAATACTGTGCATATTCTGTTATGTAAGGTAAATAAATTGGAACAAGCGTCGCACTACACCATGCAGGACATGTGCCTTACTCTGCGACAAGATAACTTTAAATAGAAGAACTATTTTCTTTTCTCCTACTCTGAGACAGGAGAATCACATTTTACAGGTAAAACAAATTTCCTCATTATACATACTTCTTCCTTTTAGTTAGACATCTATGAAAAGAAGAAAAACAAAAGCAGGAAGTAATTATGGAATCTATTTGACAGATCTCTGCCAATTTCCTTCAGCGTTGAAGCACAAGACAACTCTGGTCTCTACAGAAGAAAGGATGTTTATATTTTCTTCTGTTTTCTACTCATCATGATGATGTTTATGTTTTGTGAGAGCCAGTTAGAACGTGTTGCTCATCACCCACTTAACAGCTCAGAAAGTCATAATACTTCATACTTTTCCCTAAGGAAAATCACTTTTTAATTAACAAGTTACAAATCAGATGAAAACGTTTATCTATGCCTACTTGAATTCTTCTTCCTCTAGGTAACGAGGTTTACAGATCCTTTACGCAGACTGTCAATAAACCTTATGTTTCAATACAAAAATTTAAAGTTAGTAAAAGCAAATCCAATTTGCCAAGACAGACAAGTAAATTAGATATAATTTTACCAATCTTCTCGAGTCAGGCCTGGAAGCTTGCAATTGTTCAAATTCTTCTATTTTTGCTTGATCTACATCTTCTTTCAGCTCCCACGTACTGTCTTCATATGGCAATGAACACCATTTTACTAAATAGTAAATAACAGGCTGCAGAAAAAAAATTTTGAAATGTTATCAGCTTATGTTTAATTTAGTATACAGACTGTTAATATGAATTCTATTTGAGTAGTTAATTTACCTAAGACAGCTGGAAACAAAACCACCTTTCTGATATTTTTTAAAGGCAATCTGTGGTAATCTGAGTAGGTTATCAGTTCCTAGATTCCTCGGTGGAATGAGCAGAGTGTTTTCTACCTACTTGTCCTTGCCTTCTCATATTCTGCTACTTTGTTGTAGACCCCTGGGGACAAACAGAAATCTCTAGAGCATGTTTTGATTCCACTTACCCCAGACTAAATCTTGGTCTTGGGAAAGTTAAATTACTACAGTCACTACAGTCCATGAAAACAGAAAAATCTAACCACAGAGCTGCTACCTAGAATGTTTCCTGCATTCTCAAAATCCAGCTGTGTATGAACCTAAAACAGAGATCGCACACAACAGAAAGCTTTATAGGTCTGCTGGGATACCTATATGAAAATCTAGAAAAAGTCTAAGAAAACGGAGCTGAAATGGATGATTTTATCTCAATTGAGCAAATAAAGATTTAGAAGTTAAATTAAAAAGTGATACTTCATGAAGAAGTAGGAAGGCGGCTTGCGTCAATAACCCTTTTTTCTGAAAGCGTAATAATGACAAGCCTGTTGCATACACTGAGAAATAATTCTAACCCTCATCCCTTCTTTTTGAAGATTAATGCAGAAATCAGTGGGTAAGAGTCTGCTAATTTTGCTACGTAAGAGAACACAATAAGTTATCACAGCTATTCCAGCAGACTTAATAACAAACCTGTTAGTCTTTGTTCTTTGCTTCTCAGACTCTTTCTGAATTACACAACTTTGTTTTATATATAACGTTTTTTAATTTTCTCATCTCATACTTTTGTTTTGTAATAGTCTTCCAGAAGAAACACATAAAGTCCAAAAAAGTTTTGATTAACAGAGGGAAAGGTCCACTGGTAGCTAGCAAAATGGCCCTGAATCACGGATTGCCAAAAGCCTGGGGAGAGAGAGGAGGAAGGAACTGCCACTGGAGATATCATTTATACTCTGCCTTCTTGTGCATTCTTTAGCGAGCGACTGCTTGTCACCATCAGAAAAACAGGACAGCACATGGTATTAGCCTTTTGTCGGAGCTCACGTGGCAATTATTAAACCAAATCTTTGGCTAGTATTACATACTAATAAAAATGGAAGCCACTGCACGTTGACTTCTATTTCAAAATAGATGACAAGCATAGGAAATGACAAGATTAAAATGTCTCATTACAATTAATTTTTGAAGCTCAAAAATCATTAAGGTTTACTTTGAAATCTGCTAAAATACCACTACCTAGCCCTACATAGGGGTGTATCTTCTTGATTTGCTTTAAGATATATTTACCTCACCAGTGTCCTTATCTTCACATAGAGAGACTTCCAACACCCGGTCTACTTCAACATAGTCAGGATTAAAAGGTTCTTCTTCCATCTGCAATGCAAAATTAATAAAACCAGTTCTGAGCAGGGAACCAAAAAAAGTCGGTATATGCTGAGACTTACTATACTCGTGTTTGGCTGTACAGAAAAATCTGATTAGGTTTAAATGAATATGACAGTTGGAAACTATTGAGGCTTTTGCACACACCATGAAACCACCATATTTATGGAGATAACTGGGATCAAAGAGGGATCCAACATTAGAACAGAAAATGCAGAGTCATTCAGGGATGAAGTGCAAATTCAGCTGTGTCTAGCAGTTTGTACGCTATAGAAACCACACGTACTAAGATAATCTTTTCCCTTATCTTTCCCCTGTCTTGGGAAAGAAAAGGCTTTCCCAGGTCTTTCCATGGTCACTAGCAAGTAGTTACCAAAGAATTCTAATTTTAAACTATGCCAGTGAGGTTAACTTAGTGACTCCAGAAGATTTGCTCTTAAAATTACAATTCTATCTTCAGGACTTAAAAAACACCTCCCCCACCTGCCACAAGCCAAAACCCAGTCCTGATAGCTAAATTTTACTTCTCAACATTCAGGTATTCAATTTAAAAATGAAATATTAATCATATTTTCAAAGGGGAAAAAGGCGTGTTTTAATTGCATGTTTCATACTCACATCTGCAAAGAAGTGAGCTCTTTGTGCCTGCCTCAGTTTGAACCGCTTTATTTTCTGCTGGATTCTTTTATCCTTTAAAAGCTGTTGTTCTGTGGCCCATTCACAGTGGAGATAAGAGCTAAAATTACAGAGATTAAGGTTAATATATTAGTGAAAGCAAACGCTTAGTATGTATTTTTAGCATACAATTATAACAGTATAGTTTATAAACCTGAATTTCACTCAAACAAGAGAATACTTTTATCATTTAGGACAAAATTTGCTGTAAATGTTAAAATGACTACATTATTAAGCCTATTTACTCCTTCAAATAATCATGCTATATCTAGTTAAGGTACCTTTTTTTTTGGCCTAGGATCCACAGAACTCTAAGGATTCACAAATTACTTTCAAACAACCCAAGAAGAAAAGCAAGCGCATTTAAAGTGAACTTTTATGAACCAAATTTTAATTCTGCTACCTTACCTCTATCAGAAAAAAACAGAAACCCACAGGTTTAAAAAAAAAAAAACCCCAAAACAAACAAAAAACCCCCCACCCCCAAATCACTTAAGAACATCTTCCAGAGGTACAAAGTACTGAATGGACTGAACTTTTTCATGTACTACACATGAACTCATGTCTTCATGGGTCCTACTCAGCTATACAGCTGAGCCAAACCAAAGGATCTTGATGAGCACTAGAGCCCACATCAGGAAGGATCATGCAGTGAGACTGGGTTGAAGGGAGGCAAGAAAGAGCAAAGCCAAAGGCAGAAGAAGGAAGCATGAGCATGCGTTTCGGTGGTAGTTGTACCATCTCGCTGTACCCCAAGTGAGCCTTTCTGAAGTTAAACTGGATGAACAGAAGTCTTATTTTCATCAGTTCACAAGCTCTCAAAAGATATGGGGCTCTTCTCTAGAAAGAGAGAACCACTACTGCTACTGCTGGCTAAAAGTGACTCTCAGAAGAACACTCAATCCTTTCAGGAAAGGAGAGCTAAAAGAAAATTTTTTCTTTCACGCTCTGGAAGAACGTGGGCCCAGAGTCTCCAAAATAATTACATTCCTCAGCAAAAAACTAATGAAATTGCTCATGTATATAAAATTAAATGTGCTTGCCTTTGCAACCTCAAGAGCTGACTAATAACAGGAGGATGGGTATGAAATGGAGAATAAGAAAATATGGAAAAAAGTTGCGTTTCTTTTTAAAACAGTAAGACTGACTCCCACATCAACCTCTCCTAAATGTAGGACACTAAATCTATGTTCACGAAATACCTTTGATTTAAATTCGTGAAACAGAACTTAATCTCAAGCATATATCCTCTGTTGAATTTAACAAATATACATTCCCCAAAAAGCGTGCTCCTTTGGCAACAACTGTCAGTTTATTAGTCAGTGTCTGCTTCAGCATACTGATAATTTGTAAATTGTTAACAAGATGATGCAGATTCTTAATAAATTCAAAATTAAATTTGTAAAACTCAAAGACAACAAAATCTGATCATAAGTAATGTTCAAATAATACAAAACTTGAATATGGCACTTGTCATTTAAATGATCATCTTCAATGAAACAGCTCCTCAATACTTACTAGTTCTTGTATTTCACAAAAAACTCTTCCGTTTCCACTGTCATTCCAGCAGACATCTAAGAAAGGAAATTCAGGGGACACGTAAAACGATGGACACGGAACACATTTTCAAATAAACAATTTTATCCTTTGACCTTCACTTACTTCTTTCTTTATTATCCTAGAAGATAAGATTTTGTCTACAATTGCTGCATCTTCTTCACTTGGATTCTCCTATAAATGAAGGAAAACAATGACATCTTCATTAACAGCAGTAAATACCCCCTGCAAACTGATCAGGCTCAAAGCCTTCACAGCACAAGTGGTTTGCCAAAAGATCAACAATAAAGACAATAACATTCTCCAATAACATTCTCTTTATGAGCCTGGAAGTACCAAAATTAAAATATATTATAGCTATTCCACCTTGGACATAGGCTTACCAGTTTTATTTAATTTAAAAAAAAAAAGAAAAACAAGAAAAAGCAAACAACTATTACTGCCTATTTCATTCAACTGATATTTGATTAATACTGCTTAGTCTAAAAAAATTACAATCCCATACGAAAACAAAGTATTTGCTCTGGAGAAATAGGTTTTTTCTGTTTGTTTGTTTTTAAAGCTAGGCACTTTCATATGCCCCGCTTAAAAGGAAGATTTTTCAGATTTATATCCAGAGAGAAATATATGTAAAAATACAGCAGTCTCGCACTTCCCCAAAGCATCAGACCCAAGGCTCACCTGCCAAACACATTTATAGTGCAAGCAGCAGTGATCTTGATGCTTTCCAGAAACAGACTCACTCTGTATGCCCTAAAAAGATGACCTGATGCAGTTGATGTACCCAGGATTTCTTTATACAGAGATGGAAGGATAAGGACTCTGGCAGACAGGTTAAACAAATTAATAAAAGAAAAACAACGCACTGTGCATCACACTCCATTTAATAGATCTCCTCTGGGCCCAGAAACCAGAAACACGCCGGGGAATCAGGCAGACCAGGGTCGTGCTTGTGAATTCCTGCAGAGCTTAGGTGTGAAACGGATACTGAATTACTCAGCTCTGCCAGGACTGGCACTGTGGTCCCAGAGCTAACGAGCCAATCTTTAAAGGTTGCTTACAGTAAAAAGGCACCTTCCCTCCTGCCCAACTTGTTCCCAACCATGCTGTCCTTCTCCCTCCCTTACAGCTCTGGCACTCTTTCAATTGTCTCACGAGCACTTTTTTGCTGGTTTTTTTTTTCCTGTTACTTTTATTTACCTAGAACAGCTCAACAAGAAGTTTAAGTACCAGAGCCAAACCAAGTTAAACAGTGAAGTGCAGACCTGAGGGGAAAAAAGGCAGGAGCATCCTTTTTCAAACTCAGTAAGCAGAGGCTTGGTTGCTTTTATAGTTCTAGAAGTCACAATAATACATATTAACACATGGCCTTTTCATATGCCTACACAGCACGACGCATTCTTCAAGACATACTTATCCTTAATTGTTACTTCAGTTAAATTGATGAACATTTTCAACCAAAGAAGAAGAAGAAAAAAACGTAATTAGTCATTACTTCCAGTTCTTAAGATCCTAGGCAAGATGTCACATTAAATAAGCTATAGATTAGTATTGATAGGGTTTTCCTTCCAAATTTTGAGCTTTATTCATTAAACTCATGGACACAACTAGAACGTTGCCACTACAGAACAAGCCAGATTTTACTTACAACAAATAATTGTAAAGGCTGCTCAGCAGGTAAAGGAGCAGA